CAACGTTACGAATTTGTTTTGCAATACATCAGTTCATGTGTAAACTGTACCCTTAAACTGTATAGAATATTTTGCAAAATCAGTTGACTGAAGAAAGTAGCTCTGTTTACACTAGTGAGTCTAACTTTTGATGGGGAGTATATGTTATCTGAAGTTATCTGCAGTGTCAGCAACGAGAAAACGTTCAGTGACCTCTGAAACTATACTCGTGTAGGTTGATCGACGATCGATGATTTCCGCCTCTGTAAATAATAATTCTGGAAAGGTGCGCGTGCTTTCATCTCCAGTATTGTGACATGAATGATGATGATGATGATGATGATGACCACAGGCTGACCTATGTTGTGGTCGTATAATGGGTACACGTTGTGTCAGTTTCAGAACATCAATAGTACCTATGACTAGTCCACAATATTAGTCACTGAGCACTGAACCCAAGCAGAGCGAAGTCCCAAAGGGGAGGTTAACATTTTCGTGCTATTTTCAGTATCATTGGGTTTTCTGCCACTGGTGACGTGCAGAGTCCACTGTGACATATATGTCATGTGTTCCTTTAGGTCTCCCTGCCTTTGGGAATCGCTCAATGGGGCACACTGGTCTCTAATAGCAGCATACACGGCGACCCAGAGTAGCAACAGAGGCCACATGGCGCCGAGGTACAATGGCTCTGACACTGAGGCGACTAACGGGATCGGGTGGTCAGGCTCGCTGGCTTGGTTGACACATGTCATCGGTTCCCAATTACGCAGATCGATGCTCATGCTGTTGATCAATGGATTGTCTAGTTCAGACTCGATTATTTACAGACCGCCGCCATATAGCTGGAAGATTGCTGAGTGCGGCGTAAAACTAAACTCACTTACTCTTTCTTGTCACGTGCTAGCGTGTTGATTAGAGCATTTGTGTACACTGCGCATTTCGTTGTAGAGTTGCGTCCCTTAGAATCTCACTGATTATGACCCTTCGTTTTATCACCACCGTGCCGCGTCACTGGGCGTTCCTCCAATAATAACCATGTAAGCCATGGAAATATATGATCATAAGATTGTATCATTAATTTAAAAATCATAATAATGAGTCTCATTTCTATAACTGAAAATACTAGAAACGAGGAAAGTGTGGTTTTGTTTTTGCATTACCTTTAACAGAAATATCATTTTTGTGTGCTGAGTATTATCAAGGTATTGTGTTTGTGAACAGACGAAAGGAACACTGAATATAGGCTGTGGGGACATACCATTTCTTCAGCAATATTCCAGCAATATCACAGCGGGGGAAATGATGTGGGGTGAGGTGACAAGCGAACGCTTAACCACTAGGGCTAATCGTCCATTGGGCGGAAGTGCATGTTTGATGGCGAGAAATATTTCGACAGTGCTTTGTTCATATGACGACATATGACGACGTGCATGCGTGTGTATATGTATGTGCGGCTGTTTGTACTAGCCCAGACTTAAGCTGGTTTTATAGTACTAGCCCACTGAGATACCATGCCGCAGTGAAGCATGAATACCCCTCTCAGACACATTATACTGACTCCGAGCCGACCAGTCCTTGTTGTACCCATTATTGCCGAGCGCCTGACAGGGACCAACAAGTACCATATTTTAACGTCTTTTGGATCGGGGATCAAACCCGCGACCTTCCGCTCTCCGGGCGGACGCTCTAACCACTACACCACGGAGGCGGTCCCATTTCTTAAGGTATAAAAGCAGTAACTTTATAAAGCATTTCCTTCTTTTTAAAGTTCAAGAAGGAAGTCCAAAGAAAACAGTTGGAAAAAATACGTGGATATGTGTCGATGATCACGTAGGTACAACGTACGCTGGCCAACTTTTCTCTGGTACGGAGTTCCGAGGTGGCACCTATACACGATGTCTCTCCACTGACATCATAGTCGTTAGTGATACGTAAACCAATGGCGGCGCTGCGAACAGATCCAGCCAGTGATAGCTGTTAGTGAGTGAGTGGGTTGGGTTTAACTCTGCTTTTAGCAACATTTCAGCAATATCCGGGGGACACCAGAAATGGGCTTCACTCATTGTACCCATGTGGGGAATCTAACCCAGGTGTTCGGCGTAATGAGCGAACGCTTTTACCACTACTCTTCCCCACCGGCCCTAGTGATGGCTGTGGTCTCGTCTCGTCAGACCACGGGATTTCAGATTCAGAAGTTGTATCTACATACATTCGCAAGAGTGATACGGAATACTAACGGATGACTTAGATGATTTCAGGTGGACAGTTTCACCACAAGTGAAACACATTATATTCTAAATCTGATCTGGTAGTTCGTGGTTTTCTAAGTTAACTGCACAGCTACAAAATGATGAAAACAGTCGTGGTTGCGGTTGATATGAGTCATGATGTGGTCTGTACTACCACCGCCTCCGTGGTGTAGTGGTTAGAGCGTCCGCCCGGAGAGCGGAAAGTCGCGCGATCCCCGAAGCCGATACCTAAAGACGTTAAAATATGGTACTTGTTGGTCCCTGCCTGGCGTCCAGCATTAATGGGTACAACAAGGACTGGTCGGCTCGGAGTCAGTATAATGTGTCTGAGTGGGGTATTCATGCTTCAGTGCGGCATGGTATCTCAGTGGGCTAGTACTATAAAACCAGCTTAAGTCTGGGCTAGTACAAGCAGCCGCACATACATATACACACGCATGCACGTCGTCATATGAGCGAAATATTCTCAAGCACGACGTTACCCCCAATTTCACCTCACCTCACGAACAAAGCACTGTCGAATGGCCAGTTTTTGTTTCTTTCATTTCAGTCGCCATCAAACATGCATGTATACTTCCTTTGCCCAATGGACGATGGGGTAGCCTAGTGGTTAAGCGTTCGCTTGTCACGCTGAAGACCCGGGTTCGATTCCCCACATGGTTAAAATGTGTGAAGCCCATTTCTGGTGTCCCCCCGCTGTGATATTGCTGGAATATTGCTAAAAGCGGCGTAAAACTAAACTCACTCCCTCTTGAAGACATACAATTCAGAACCAAAGACTAGGGTTCTGGTCCTGTCGTAGGTTTCAGCCCCTCTCATCCAGGTTACTCCTTTGCCTGACTCTAGGACAATGGGATGTACATTACAAATGAGGCATATTCTTTCAGTTATATTCCTATGTTTCTACTCGTAACTAGTTTTTAAATATATGAGTGCGAACTCACAGAGGCGAGGGAAGACGTGGGTCTCCAAGTGCAAAAGTGTTTCCTTTCTCTCTACGTGATCGCTACATGGCTGAAATAATGCGACGTTAAATTATTCTAATTCAATCTCTACGTGAACTTGCTGGGTTGCTTAACACCAAGGATTACTGTTACATTTCGGGATTTAGAAGACTGGGAGTTTATCATCAGATAATACATGGTAAATGTTTACTTTCTAGTCGTAACTAGATTAAGTAGACAGGGTTATAATGCCCTCGAAGATATGTGCTGATTATCGGGCTGTTGACATGTTTCTGTCCTGTTCACTAGATAGCTCAGGTCTGAGCCCCATGTTCACACATTTGAAAAATATTTCATCTTAAGAGGGAGGGAGAAAAACAAGAGGAGGGAGAGTAGAGGAAAGGGGGAATACAAGTGAGAGAGTGGGAAGAGAATCAAAGAGGAGAGATAGAGAAAAGGGAATGCACATGAGTGAGAAAGGGAAGAGAATAAAAGAGATTTAGAGAAGGGGAATGCACATGAGTGAGAGAAGGAAGAGACTCAAAGAGGAGATAAAGAAAAGGGCATATGAGTGAGAGGGGAGAGAATCAAAGAGGGTAGAGAGAAGGGAAATGTATATGAGTGAGTAGGGAGAGACTCAAAGAGGAGATAGAGAGAAGGGGAATGTATATGAGTGAGAGAGGGGAGAATCAAAGAGGAGATAGAGAGACGGGGAATGTATATGAGTGAGGTGAGGTGAGGTGAAATTGGGTTTAACGTCGTGCTTGACAATATTTCGCTCACATGGCGACGTCCATGCGTGTGTATGTGTATGTGCGGCTGCTTGTACTAGCCCAGACTTAAGCTGGTTTTATAGTGCTAGCCCACTGAGATACCACGCCGCACTGAAGCATGAATACCCCACTAAGACATATTATACTGACTCAGAGCCGACCAGTCCTTGTTGTACCCATAAATGCCGAGGGCCAGGCAGGGACCAACAAGTACCATATTTTAACGTCTTTTGGTATTACGCAGTGGGGGATCGAACCCGCGACCTTCCGCTCTCCGGGCGGACGCTCTAACCACTACACCACGGAAACGGTCGTGTATATGAGTAAGAGGGAAGAGACTCAAAGAAGAGATAAAGAGAAGGGGAATGCATATGAGTGAGAGAGGGTAGAGAACCAAAGAGGAGATAAAGAGAAGGGGAATGCATATGAGTGTGAGAGAGGAGAGACTCAAAGAGGAGACAGAGAGAAGGGGAATGCATATGAGTGAGAGAGGGAAGAGACTCAAAGAGATAGAGAGAAGGGGAATGCACATGAGTGAGAGAGGGAAGAGAACCAAGGAGGAGATAGAGAGAAGGGGAATGCACATGAGTGAGAGAGGGTAGAGAACCAAAGAGGAGATAAAGAGAAGGGGAATGCATATGAGTGTGAGAGGGTCAAGAATCAAAGAGGAGATAGAGAGAACGGGACGTATATGGGTGAGAGAGAGAAGAGACTCAAAGAGGATAGAGAGAAGGGGAATGCATGACTGAGAGAGGGGAGAGAACCAAAGAGGATAGAGAGAAGGGGAATGTATATGTGTGAGAGAGAGAAGAGACTCAAAGGAGATAGAGAGAAGGGGAATGTATATGAGTGAGAGAGGGAGAGACTCAAAGAGGATAGAGAGAAGGGGAATGTATATGAGTGAGAGAGGGAAGATACTCAAAGAGGAGATAGAGAGAAGGGGAATGTATATGAGTGAGAGAGGGAAGAGACTCAAAGAGGAGATAGAGAGAAGGGGAATGCACATGAGTCGAGAGAGAGGGTAGAGAACCAAAGAGGAGATAAAGAGAAGGGGAATGCATAAGAGTGTGAGAGGGGAGAGACTCAAAGAGGAGACAGAGAGAAGGGGAATGCACATGAGTGAGAGAGGGAAGAGGTTCAAAGAGGAGATAAAGAGAAGGGGAATGCATATGAGTGTGAGAGGGAAGAGACTCAAAGAGGAGATAGAGAGAAGGGGAATGCACATGAGTGAGAGAGGGTAGAGAACCAAAGAGGAGATAAAGAGAAGGGGGATGCATATGAGTGTGTGAGGGAAGAGACTCAAAGAGGAGATAGAGAGAAGGGGACTGTATATGGGTGAGAGAGAGAAGAGACTCAAAGAGGATAGAGAGAAGGGGAATGTATATGTGTGAGAGAGGGTAGAGAACCGAAGAGGAGACATAGAGAGAAGGGGAAATGGCATATGAGTGAGAGAGGGTAGAGAACCGAAGAGGAGATAGAGAGAAGGGGAATGGCACATGAGTGTGAGAGGGAAGAGACATCCAAAGAGGAGACGCCCAAAGAGAGAAGGGGGAATGCATGGAGTGAGAGGCAAGAGACCCAAAGAGGAGGTAGAGAGAAAGTGGATGCATATGAGTGAGAGAGAGGGAGAGGAACAAAAGAGGATAGAGAGAGAAGGGGAATACATAAGAGTGAGAGAGACAGGAGAGGAACAGAGACAAAGAGGAGAGAGAAGGGGAAGGGATATGGGTGAGAGAGAAGCGAGAATCAAAGGAGATAGAGGAAGGGACCCAATGCACATGGGTGAGAGAGGGTACAGAACAAAAAGAGGATAGAGAGAAGGGGAATGTACATGTGTGAGAGAGAGAAGAGGACCCAAAGGAGATAGAGGGAAGGGGAAGCATAAGAGGAGTGTGGAGAGGAAGAGACTCAAAGAGGATAGAGAGAAGGGAACAGTATATGGAGGAGAGAGGGAAGAGGCTCAAAGAGGAGACAGAGAGAAGGAACGGACAAGGAGATGAGACCCAAAGAGAGAGGAACGCAGAACCAAAGAGAGAGATAAAGAGAAGGAGTGGAAAGACCCAAAGAGTGAGAGAGGGAAGAGACCAAAGAGACAGGAAGAGAAGAAGGACACAAAGAGGACCCAGAGAAGAGACCCAAAGAGTGACAGGAGAGAGAAGGGAACGGAGAGAGGGGAAGAGACCCAAAGAGGGAGGAGAGAGAAGGGAACAGAGAAGGAGTGAGAGGAAGAGACCCAAAGGAGATGGAAGAGAAGGAATGGAAGAGGAAAGAACCCAAAGAGGAGAGAGAGAAGGAACGAGAGGAATGAGACCCAAAGAGAGAATGAGCAGGGAGTGGAGAGAGAGAAGAGGACCCAAAGAGGACAGAGAGAAGGGAACGGATAGGAGTGAGGACCCCAGAGGAAAGAGAGACATGGAACGCAGGAGAGGAAAGAGAGAGAGAATGGAACGGAGTGAGAGAGAGAGACCCAAAAAAGAGGACAGAGAGAATGGGAACGAGAAAGTGAGACAAGACGGAGAGAGAAGAGAACCCAAAGAGGAGACAGAGAGAAGGAACGGGAACGAGAGGAAGAGGACCCAAAGAGACAGGAGAGAAGGAACGGACATGAGATGGAGAGACCCAAAGAGACAGGAGAGAAGGAACGTGAGGAAGAAGACCCAAGAGAGACAGAGGAAGGCACACAAGTGGAGAGACAGAAGGAAAGAGAGAAGGAACGAACATGAGTGAGAGAGAGAGACCAAAGAGAGAGAGAATGGAAACATGAGAGAGGAAGAGGACCCAAAGAGGAATGGAGAGAAGGGAACCCACAGAGGAGTGAGAGGAAGAGACCCAAAGAGGACATGGAAGAAGGGAACGACAGAGAAGAGACCCAAAGAGACAGAGAAGGAAAGTGAGAGAGAGAAGAGACCCAAAGGAGGACAGGAGTGGAAGAGACCCAAAGAGAGTGGACGAGGAAGAGAGAATGGAACGCAGGAGTGGAGAGAGGGAAGGAACTGAAAGACAGAGAGAAGGTGAGGACCCCAAAGAGGAGATGAGGGAACGCACAGAGTGTGAGAGGAAGACATGGAACGGAGAAAGAGACACAGAGAAGGAGAAGACCCAAAGAGGAAGAGACCAAAGAAGAGACAAAGAGAAGGAACGAGTGGAGGAATGGACCCAAAGAGGACAGAGAGACCAGAGAAGAGGACCAAAGACAGGAAGACATGGAGGACGAGAGGACAGACATGGAACGCACAGAGGAGAAAGGGAAGACAGAGAAAGGAACGCAGAGAGAGGAAGAGACCAAAAGAAGAGGAAGGAAGGGACGGAGAGAACCAAAGAGTGAGGAGAGAGGGGAATGCACAAGGAGTGAGGAGAAGAGACCCAAAGAGGAGGACCCAAGAGAGAGAGAGGACCCAAAGATGGAAGAGAAGGAACGGAAGAGGGAAGGACAAAGAGAGGAGAAGCACATGGAAGACAGGAAGGAGAGAGAAGAGGAACCAAAGAGGAAGAGAAGGAACGGAGTGACAGAGAGAAGGAAGAAGACCCATGGAGACGGAGTGAGACAGAGACCCAAAGAGGAGAGAGAAGGAAACGGAGTGGAGGAGAGACCAAAGAGGACATGAGAGAAGTGAGAGAGAAGGTGAGGAAGAGAGGAAGAGATGCCCAAGGAGTGGACAGGAGAGAGAAGAGGAGAGGAGGAGGGAGAGGGAAGGAGACACAAGGAGACCCAAAGAGAAGGACAACAAGTGGAAGAGACCCAAAGAGACAGAGAGAAGGGAATGCACATGAGTGAGAGAGGAAGAGACCCAAAGAGGAGAGGGAAGAGAGAGGGGAGAGAAGGAAGAGGAGAGGAGAGAAGGAAAGAGAGGAGACAGAGAGAAGGAATGTACACAGGAGTGGAGAGAGGAAGAGGACCAAAGAGGAGGAAACGAGAGAGAAGAGAACCAAAAAGAGACATGGAGGAAGAGACCCAAAAGAGACAGGAGAGAAGGGACGAAGGTGAGAGAGGAAGAGACCCAAAGAGGACAGAGAGAAGGGAACGCATATGAGTGGAGAACAAGAGACAGAGACACAAGAAGAGAAGGGAGTGAGGAAACGAGAGGAAGAGAAAGAGAGAGAATGGACGAGAAGGAAGAGGACCAAAGAGTGAGAGAAGGGAAGAGACCCAAAGAGATAGAGAGAAGTGGAACGTATATTGAGTGGAGAAGGACAGAAGAGACACCAGTGGAGGAAAGGAGAGAAGAGGGAATGACAGAGAGAGAGGAAGAAGAGCACAAAGAGGGAGATAGAGAGAAGGTGAGGATGAGTGAGAGGACAAATCAAAGAGGAGAGAGAAGGGAATGCACATGGAGGGAGAGGGGAGAATCAAAAGAAGGAGATAGAGAAAGGGGATGTATATGGTGTGGGAGAGAAGAGACCAAAGAGGATAGAGAGAAGGGGAATGCATGAGTGACAGGGAGAGAACCAAAGAGGATAGAGAAAAGGAATGTATATGTGAGAGAGAGGAAGAGACTCAAAGAGATAGAGAGAAGGGGAATGTATATGAGTGAGAGAGGGAAGATAACAAAGAGAGGAGAAGAGATTAGGGAAATATGGAGAGAGAGGAAGAGAACCAAAGTCCAGGAGCGGGGGTTGGAATGCGTGTGTGAGATAGGGAAGAGAGTCAAAGAGGGAAATGGGAGATCAATGCATGTGAGAGAGAGGGAGACGATGGGAATGCATGTGAGAGAGAGAAAGTGAAGAGCATCAAAGTGGGGAATGGGGATGTATGTGAGAGAGAGGGAGACGATGGGAATGCATGTGAGAGAGAAAGCGAAGAGCATCAAAGTGGGGAATGGGGATAAATGTGAAAGAGAGGTAGAGAATGGGAAGGCATATGAGAGAGATGGAAGAGAATCATAGCGTGAGAGGAATATGTGTTAACACCTGATAAATACAGCATGTAGATGTCTTAATACATAAAGGCAATTCCGCAGTGCTCAAACACGTTTCTACACTCTCCTAAATAATAAAAACACGGTTATCAAATCGTCTGTCTATATACAGCTCACGTGTCTCGTCGAGACATTGTATACATATCAATTAGTTTATATCAACTCACTCAGAATATATTTACCAACACCTGGCGTGGTTGTTATCCTGCATCATACGCCGGGACAGCACATCCTCAAATAACATCTGTTATTCACCATGGCAGGTTGAACATGCTGGTTTATATTTAAGTAAGGTTTGACTCTGTTTTCAGATATCTACATCGACTATATTGCATAGAAAATGTATATGTGTAAGCTGGCAAATCGAGGTCGATAATAGAAGCATTATGGTAATTTGGAACGGAGAACGACCTTCTTAACAGTGCCTTAGCACCAATTGGAGGCGAACTCTAGTGGCAGGTAATCGTAGGAAAGCGAATGGCGGGCCCATTGAAGTTGTTTGTTGTTTTGCTGGAGTATATCTAATGGATAATCGTTTAACGGCGGTATGAAAACGTACCTGAGCTAAGCTGACAGGATTACTGAACTTCGTTCGCCTTTCGACAGTCGAAGCCCTGAGATCATACAAGGCCCAGGGCCCCGTTTCACAAAGCTATCGTAGCGCGACTGTCCTAAGTCTATGTTACAGTATAGGAGGTAGGACAGTCGTAGAGCTACGATAACAACAACTACATCGTGTTCATTCAGCTGTAGTCTGGGTCAACAGGAAGAATCAGCGTATCTGAGTGAGTGAGTGAGTGAGTGATTGATTTTAGTTTTACACCGCCTTTAGCAATATTACAGTAATATCACCTCGGGGGGACACCAGAAATGGGCTTCACACATTGTACCCATGTGGGGAATCGAACCCGGGTCTTCGGCGTGACGAGCGAACGCTTTAACCATAAGGAAAGCGTATCTGAGTCTGATGAAGGTGAAATCTGTGTCTGCGGGACTGACAGTAGCACTTGCATCAACTCAATCGAAATAACAAACAACCTACATACAAAACAAACTATATTGTACCTGAGATACATAATTACAACACGAATATTGATTGTTTGTTCACAGGAACCTATGCCTACCATTTTATATACATTTTATGATATCATACATATGATCATATTGATAAATAAATTTGTTTGCGGATCCGTACAAAATCATTTCAGTTTACTGCACACGTCGACGGAAGAAATCGTTTTGATGATAGAATATCAAAATATTTGGATTCCGATGAAAAGCTGAAATGAACCGCTTTTGGTAATACTTGAAAGCTAAATACTACAAATATCGGTGTCCAATTGAAGCTGTTTTTCATAAGACTTGAACCCCATAAGATACCCTTTCTCACCTTTCGACTCACTTAAACATAAACGCACATAAAATCGTATCGAAAAGCTGCATATTTGATTTATTCGGAGCATTCGACAAAATATCAAGACAAAAAGACTTAAACAGAGAGATAAATCTCACCTAAACAAATGTCTCCCTGAGTGACAAATCACACAAACAAAAATGGTTTGAAAATGATACAACACAAATTCATTCCACGCAGTAATTCAAGAAAAGACTTTGAGTAAGATACTTACTTAGGAAAGAGTTATGGGTACGAAAACGAAAAAAGTCCTGTTTTGTGAATTGATTTCTGGTCTTTTACAGAGAACGATAAACAAAAGAATCGACACTGTTTCACATTTTGCCAAAATATACCTGCAAATATAATCAGTGTGTTACAGAACATATAATGACACTGCTTACATATTAAATAATTGTTTGATCGGCATTCTAGAAATTGGTGAGCCAAACGGGAGTCACATTTGTTGTTCTTGGTTTCCCGCTGACCTCTCCCAATTATGTACCAGCTGTTATTCAGTTACATGTTGTTAATATTAATCTGCTGTTTGTCAAAACATACTATGTATATATACCTCTCATCATTTGGTTGTAGTCACTTTTAGCTTGATAACGATGTAAGAATCTAGATCGAAACGTCGCTTAATGCAATAAACAAGAAGTTGTCATCCATAAAGTTGTATGTTTCATACTGAACTTGGAACGAACATGTTTCTGCAATTGACTTTGTCCACAGCGGTTTATACTGATACTATGGAAACTGATTTATTCCCTGGAAACAGGCCATTAGTTTCACGTGTCAGATACCATCCTCGTTTATGTAGGGTATATCTCCATTGGTATTCTTTATAGCAACTAATTTAATCATTCCTGGCACATAGTGTCTCTTGTTTCACGAGTGTGGGCTGCTGTTTCTAGGCTTCTGCTAAAATAAGTGCGAATGCGAGTATGGTTTTACGCCGCTTGTAGCAATATTCCAGCAATATCACGGCGGGAGACACCAAAATGGGCTTCACTTACAGTACCCACGTGGGTAATCGAACCCGGGCCTTCGGCGTGACGAGCGAGCGCTTTAACTATGAGGCTACCCCACCGCTTCACTAAAAGAAGAGGCGATTTTACAATTCCGACTATATTATGTACATGTGTTTGGTTTTTTGTTTTTGGTTTGTTTAACGCCTCACTAATCTCTGAGCTATAACAATGAATAGGTCCATGGTATTTTTATAATAAAATGGAGATAAAATGTCTGTAAGGAAAAGGCCCTTAAGTTGACGATCTGCGTGGAAAAGTACCTGTTTCAATTACATTGTCGACATAGTATTTCGAACTGAATCAGGTATTTGTACAAAATCCTAGTTTTGAGCAGAAACGCCTTGGAGAAGGTGTTGCAGTTTGTCCCGAGTGCCCATGGCAATCAAGATGGTGATAAGTGAACCGAGTCCAATTGTCAGTGTCACCCAACTAGGCGCTTTGGCTTTCCGCCGCACAGATTTCTTCTGGCGTGTTCGGTTGGTGGTTAGAATGGCAAGGTCGTCTGGCGTCACAACTTCCGGTTTGATGATTCGGAGCACTTCCGTCGCTGCTCTCAAGCCCGCCTGAACAGCGCCGTTCATGGTGCCAATCCAGACCGTCGCTGTTTCAGTCCCTGCGAAATGAATCCTGAAAGAAACCAAACTATTTTGGTAAGGGTAGAATGCCATGTTACATAAATATCAAATATAAATTTCACGGTATTGTTTTTAGCAACTTCAAGCGAAAACAAATCTTGTTTAACAGAACTGAATCATGTTATAGATGAAGCGTTAATTCTTTATCGCAAACTGATACCATGTCAAAACGTAAACGAGTATTGAAATGTACGAATACATTTTATTACCATCTAATGGAGGGTGTTATCGTTGCAATAAAGTAATCTCATAATCTTGGTATCCAAATCTGATAAATATCTACATTAGGTCAATACACGAAATACTTTCCCAAAACGTTTTAACATTTCATTGATGACGTCGTTGCGAGTTTACAGGGGCTTTTCCACTGCGTGAGCGAACATGATGCATGAACGACCTTTACCTTGGTGTACCGCTAAGTATTCTTACGCGAATGTTCGATTCTCTTCATATAAATTCACGTACGATTTGCTTCTATTTTTAGAGTAATTTTAAGAATGGCATTATATGATAAAGATTAACCTGGTTAATAATCTCCATTTGTTTATCTGTTTGTGCCAAACCTCCAAAAACAACGTCACACCCAATCCTCCACAGTATTGACTGTATAAACTGGAGTCGTTACTCACTTGCCGAAAGGTTGGCGTAGCGCCTTGTTGTAGTACATCATGGCTCCAGGGTTGGCGACACACAGAGGTCCCCCATCGGTGTACGGCTCCTGGCTCCAGTCCCTTTCCGCGTAGTCCACGTAGCCAAAGACGTCGGGGCCGAAGAATCGGGAGAGGGATTCAAGTACCCCGCGTTTCCTCTCCTCCCTCTGGATGATGCGAAAGGGTTAGTGAGTGAACATGTTTTACCAATATTCCAGCAATACCAGAGAACCAGAAATAGGTTTCACACTTTCTCCCCATGTCGGAAATCCCACCTGTACCTTCGACGTGATGTTGAAAATAGATGAAGATTACTTTTTCATAAGAACAATCAGAAGATTATTTTAACCAAACTAGTATAATATATCGAATTATAGAAGAAAAACTTCGTGCAGGACGATGTCCCCAGTGCGTATCGAATCCACTATTTTCCTTCTTCGTCTCTCTGTTCAGTATTTAGCAAAGGAAGGGACAAACAATTGACCTACAGTCCCAACGTTAACATAGGCCTAACGTCAACTTTCAGTTGATGCCATGGTAACATGGTTACATCGATGAACACCTATAGTAACCTATGGGACATCGTCATACCAATATGTGCTTAGATCATCACAAATATAAAATAACACATTGATACAAAGGCTGATTTGTGACATTTAGAAATGAAATACCGGGTGTTAATCATGCCGTGGAATGAGAATAAATATGGTTTCAGCATTATTTCAGCATAAGTCCGGCTATGTCTCTAGAACAAGTGATTGATATCATGACCAACGAGGACACGCATTCAACCAAGTCACCGATCTTGATTAGCCTTTCAAATAGAGACCTCTAACGACAGGCATATTTTGCTGAGTATCAATTCTAACCGAAAAACAGGGGTAAGTCAAGAAAAATGAGTAAGATTTGGTTGGTTGTTGTTTGACGCCGCACTCAGCAATATTCCAGCTCTATGGCGGTAGTCTGTAAATTATCTAGTCTGGACCAGACAATCCAGTGATCAACAGCATGAACATCGATCTACGCAACTGGGATACAATGACATGTATCAAACAAGTGACCACCCGATCTCGTTAGTCGCCTTGTACGACAAGTATGGGTTGCTGAAGACCAACTCTAAAACGTATCTCAAGAAGAAAGGGATTAGTATGTAAGAAGTCGACAAACAGGTTTGTTAAAACTCATCGTTCATGCTGATTTCCCCTGCAGTCTTATATATTTTGCCCGTCAAATCTGACCTGCAGCTGACCCCACTGGACAGCTTGATGACCGCCGATGAAGGCGATGATGGCAGGGTTGTCGTCAGCGGAAGTGGCGTCACAGGCGAAGCAGAGAGGACCTGAGTCGCATCTGCTTACTGTACTTTGTCCCCCACTGGACAGAATCTCACCCGACCATCCCCGGTCTCGCCAGAACGACTGGAAGAGAAGAACCACCATTAGCATCAATAATAGTGTCCTAGCAGGGTCTGTCCAGGTGTTCCTTCAAAGGCATGCTTGTTGAACATGTCATTGTCACGAAACGATAGACGCCGTGCGGTTACTTTGCATTATCTATATTTACCTATTGTTGATCTTTATTGGTTCTTCAAATATCTTAAACATATAACTATCTTAGAAGCATTTGAGATTTTGTTTTGCGGTTCTGCCTGTCACGTTAAGTAACCACCATAAACGAGAACAAAGGCTACCAAAGTTTGGGTCCCTCACTGCTAAGCTTTGGTTTAAGTTCAGTTCACACGCGGTGTGTACATTCTGGATCGATCATTGATACTTACAGTTTGATAACGAAACGATCTTGCCCAATAATATATCTTGGAACTGTCCAAAATGCATGTGGAAATGTGATTATTTGTGAGTGGCCAATTCTCCCCTTGTACCCACCTCTCTGAAGGTGACAATGGCTGTGATCCTGTTGCTGAGTGGAGCCCGGCTTATGTAGTCCCGCTTGCATATTGGCAGAATAGGCTCGAAATGGACCTTGTCTGTAACATATGGGAGTTGCAATAAGACATGTCGGAGCTGGTACAAGGAGGCAATACCATTGTTAATGAGACGTGGGTTTTGTTCGTTGTTTTACGCCGCACTCAACAATATTCCAGCTATATGGCGGCGGATGGGTCGAATCTGGACCGGACATAAGCATTGATCTACGCATTTGGGATACGATGACATGTGTCAACCAAGTCAGCGAGCCTGACCACCCGATCCCGTTAGTCGTTGGTTTTGTATGTTCGTGAGTAAACACAGATACATGTATATATCTTCGAGGCAAAACCAAAGACAAAGTAAATGCGGTTTTATAAAACAAGGTAAGTAGTATGCAGGTGGGAGGTATTAATAGTACAAAGTAAACGCAGTATTGGTGATAAAGATACATTTGGTATTGGTAATACAAGGTACAGGAGATGCTGATTCAGGTACGACTGGTATTGGTGACAAAAAGTACCGATGGTATTGTGGTACAAGGTAAAGATGGTATTGTAATACAAGGTACAAATGGTATCAAGGTACAGATGGTATTGTGATACAAGGTACAGATGGTATTGTGTTACAAGGTACAGAAGGTATTGTGATGCAAGGTCAAGGTACAGGTGGTATTGTGATACAAGGTACAGGTGGTATTGTGTTACAAGGTACAGAAGTGGTATTCAAGGTCAAGGTACAGATGGTATTGTCAAGGTACAGATGTGTATTTGTGATACAAGGTACAGGTGGTATTGTGATACAAGGTACAGATGGTATTGTGATGCAAGGTACAGATGGTATTGTGATGGTATTGTGTACAGATGGTATTGTGATACAAGATACGAGGATGGTATTGTGATACAAGGTACAGATGGTATTGTGATACAAGGTACAGATGGTATTGTGATGCAAGGTACAGATGGTATTGTGATACAAGGTACAGATGGTATTGTGATACAAGGTACAGATGGTATTGTGATACAAGGTACAGATGGTATTGTGATACAAGGTACAGATGGTATTGTGATACAAGGTACAGATGGTATTGTGATACAAGGTAGAGATGGTATTGTGATACAAGGTACAGATGGTATTGTGATACAAGGTACAGATGGTATTGTGATGCAAGGTACAGATGGTATTGTGATACAAGGTACAGATGGTATTGTGATACCAGGTACAGATGGTATTGTGATACAAGGTACAGATGGTATTGTGATACAAGGATACAGATGGTATTGTGATACAAGGTACAGATGGTATTGTGATTACAAGGTACAGATGGTATTGTGATACAAGGTACAGATAGTATTGTGATACAAGGTACAAAATGGTATTGTGATACAAGGTACAGATGGTATTGTGATACAAGGTACAGATGGTATTGTGATACAAGGTACAGATGGTATTGTGATACAAGGTACAGATGGTATTGTGATACCAGGTACAGATAGTATTGTGTACAAAGTACAGATGGGATTTGTGATACAAGGTACAGATGGTATTGTGATACAAGGTACACAATACAAGGTAAAGATGGTATTGTAATACAAGGTACAGATGGTATTGTGATACAAGGTACAGAAGGTATTGTGATACAAGGTACAAGATGGTATTGTGATACAAGGTACAGATGGTATTGTGATACAAGGTACAGATGGTATTGTGATACAAGGTACAGATGGTATTGTGATACAAGGTACAGATGGTATTGTGATACAAGGTACAGATGGTATTGTGATACAAGGTACAGATGGTATTGTGATACAAGGTACAGATGGTATTGTGATACAAGGTACAGATGGTATTGTGATACACAAGGTACAGATGGTATTGTGATGCAAGGTCAAGGTAAAGATGGTATTGTGATACAAAAGGTACAGATGGTATTGTGATACAAGGTACAGATGGTATTGTGATACAAGGTACAGATGGTATTGTGATACAAGGTACAGATGGTATTGTGATACAAGGTACAGATGGTATTGTGATACAAGGTACAGATGGTATTAGTCTTACAAAGTACAGATGGGATCAGTGATACAAGGTACGGATGAGATAGTGATAGAAGGTACATGTGGTATCAGGTAGAGTACAGGATTGTGATACAAAGGTACAGATAGTATTGTGATACAAGGTACACATGGTATTGTGATACAAGGTACAGATGGACATTGTGATACAAGGTACAGATGGTATTGATGATACAAGGTACAGATGGTATTGATGATACAAGGTACAGATGACATTGATGATACAAGGTACAGATGAGTATTGATGATACAAAGTACAGATGGGATTGATGATACAAGGTACAGATGGTATTACAAGATACACTTGACATTACACAATACAAGGTACAGATGGTATTGATGATACAAGGTACAGATGGTATTGATGATACAAGGTACAGATGGTATTATGATACAAGGTACAGATGGTATTGTGATACAAGGTACAGATGGTATTGTGATACAAGGTACAGATGGTATTGTGATACAAGGTACAGATGGTATTGTGATACAAGGTACAGATGGTATTGTGATACAAGGTACAGATGGTATTGTGATACAATGTACAGATGGTATTGTGATGCAAGGTCAAAGGTAAAGATGGTGTACAGATGGTGGTATTGTGATACAAGGTACAGATGGTATTGTGATACAAGGGTACAGGTGGTATTGTGATACAAGGTACAGATGGTATTATGATACAAGGTACAAGATGGGTATACAAGGTACAGATACAATTGTAATACAAGGTACAGATGGTAGCTATTGATGGTATTAGGTACAGATACAGTTGATTTTGATACAAGGCACAGGAGATAGTGATAGAAGGTACATTGATGATACAAGATACAGATGTACAGATTGGTGATACAAGGTACACATGACATTGTGATACAAGGTACAGATGGTATTGATGATACAAGGTAGAGATGGTATTGATGATACAAGGTACAGATGGTATTGATGATACAAGATACATTGATGATGACACATTGACATTGTGATACAAGAAGATACATTGAGATGACAGATTATTGATGATACAAGACATTAAGATATAAAGGTACATATGATTGATGATACAAGGTACAGATGGTATTGTGATACAAGGTACAGATACATTTGACATTGATGATACAAGGTACAAGATGGTATTGATGATACAACGTACAGATGGTATTGTGATACAAGGTACAGATGGTATTGTGATACAAGGTACAGATGGTATTGTGTTACAAGGTCAAGGTAAAGATGGTATTGTGATGCAAGGTCAAGGTAAAGATGGTATTGTGATACAAGGTCAAGGTAAAGATGGTATTGTGATACAAGGTACAGGTGGTATTGTGATACAAGGTACAGATGGTATTATGATACAAGGTACAGATGGTATTGTGATACAAGGTACAGATGGTATTGTAATACAAGGTACAGGAGATGTTAATACAAGCTATTGATGGTATTAGTCTTATAAGTACAGTAGATTTTAACACAAGGCACAGGAGATAGTGATAGAAGGTACATGTGGTATCAGTGATGTAAGGTACAGGAGATAGTCATACAAGGTACAGATAGTAATGGTGATACAAGGTACACATGACATTTGTGATACAAGGTACAGATGACATTGATGATACAAGGTGCAGATGACATTGATGATACAAGGTACACATAACATTGATGATACAAGGTGCAGATGACATTGATGATACAAGGTACACATAATATTGATGATACAAGGTACACCGGACATTGATGATACAAGACACACATGACATTGATGATACAAGATACACATGCCATTGATGATACAAGGTACAGATTGCTTTGATGATACAAGGTACACTTGACATTAATGATACAAGGTACATATGCCATTGATGATACAAGATACACATGGCATTGATGATACAAGGTACACATGACATTGATGATACAAGATACACATGACATTGATGATACAAGGTACACATGACATTGATGATACAAGATACATTTGACATTGATGATACAAGGTACAGATGGTATGGTGATACAAGGTACAGATGACATTTGTGATACAAGGTACAGATGACATTGATGATACAAGGTACAGATGACATTGATGATACAAGGTACACATGACATTGATGATACAAGGTACACATGACATTGATGATACAAGGTACACATGACATTGATGATACAAGGTACAGATGACATTGATGATACAAGGTACATATGGCATTGATGATACAAGGTACACATGACATTGATGATACAAGGTACAGATGACATTGATGATACAAGGTACACATGACATTGATGATTGACATTGATGATACAAGGTACACATTGATGATTGATGATACAAGGTACACATGACATTGATGATACAAGGTACACATGACATTGATGATACAAGGTATCACATGACATTGATGATACAAGGTACACATGACATTGATGATACAAGGTACACATGACATTGATGATACAAGGTACACATGACATTGATGATACAAGGTACACATGACATTGATGATACAAGGTACACATGACATTGATGATACAAGGTACACATGACATTGATGATACAAGGGACACATGACATTGATGATACAAGGTACACATGACATAGGTAATACAAGGTACAGATCCGCATAGTCATATAAGGCAGTCTGTGTTACCTATCTAGCTCAGTGAAATCTGTTTCGGCAGACAGTCGTGGCTGATTATTCTGGCCTCGACCTTTCTACATGAATATGTTAAGGAAGATATGACGGATGATAGAATGACAAGACATTGGTAATAAGGATTCTCACTGAGTAAGCTAGGCGGAATGGTGACGATAGCCCGTTTACACTTGAACGTTGTGCCGTTTGACGTGGTGATGATGACGCCCTCCGACTCCTGAAACATCGGCAACGATAACAGAATCGAACAAACAATCAGACGTCATGATACTCTCCTACAACACTTGTACTAGTTCTGGTGCATTCATGTCATGGGTAAAAGCATCAACGATGTTACCACAGAGTTTAGTCGTCTACCTGCTTGATGTTTGACACTGGCTGTTTCAACAGGACACTGTTGTCTCCTATAGCCGCGGCCAGCTTCTCGCATATTTGCTGAGCTCCTCCCTGAAACGGATATAAACGTGTGCAATATTCAAACAATATACGGTTGGGGACACCAGTGAGTGAAAATGGTTTTGCGCTGCTTTCAGGAAAGTCCGAGCAATATCACGGTTTGGTGCACCAGAAATTGTCATCACACATTATACCCATGTGGGGAATCGAACCCGGGTCTTGAGCATGACGAGCGAACGCCTTAACCACTAGGCTACCCCACCGCCCTAGAATCGTCATTATAAATAATGATAAACAAATACAATAGCCATAGGACTACTCAACCACCCCTCTAAAGGAGTAAATAGAAGTTATTCAGTTATAGATGGCTGTTTACAGCGACTTCTATGTGTAACTGCAATCCTATCAAAATGTAGTTTAAACCGATATTACTTGCAAAATTTTAGATCCTCTCCTTTTTGAAATATTAATTCACTGTCATATTTGGCTTTTAACACTAATGTGTCAAACATCGGCATATGTTAATACATGACTGGTTTCGTAAATACTGTGATACATTTAAATCATGGATGTTTCGAGTTATCCGCAGATGAGATATAGGGGAGTGATGACATTATCATATCGTCACGACAGCTACTATCCCAACATGACATCGCCTTAATTGACAGGGGTACAGATAAGCTGCGTATCTGCGTAAATTACGCAAATATCTATGTGAAAACTCAATTCATATTAAGTCTATTGCGTAAAAGTATGCTTGAAGTTTTGTAAATACTCAATAAATTTGATCTTACATGTGTACACACAAAAATGTCAAGTCTTAGCTTGCGTATGTGTGGGTCTATAAAATAACTGAGATATATTGAGAGTTTCTATTTCAACGCATAAACTTGGCAACTTGCAGTCTTTCTTATCGTTTCTCATATTACAGATCAAATATAAATAACAAACACGTAAACCAACATTTAAACGGAAAATGGAAAAATACCCAATTGAGTTGAGTGAGGTGGGTACAATTTATTTGGTTACTCAAAGGAAAATTAGGATACCCAATTGAGATGAACACAAGCGAGTACATAACTCAGTGACCCATAAACGTTATCTGTCGCTCTGATTGATCTTCAGTAACCCATGCTTGGTTGACAATTGTCATCGTATCCCACTTTTGTAGATCGATGCTCGATGCTCATGCTGTTGATCGCTGGATTGTCTGGTCCAGACTCAATTATTTACAGACCGCCACCATATAGCTGGAATATTGCTGAGTGCGGCGTGAAACTGAACTCACTCACTCATTCACTCACGCTCACGCTCACATCACGACATCGCCTTAAACAATACATAGCGACTTCGACCTTAGAGCTAAGGTTGTTTCACTTCTAACCTTAATCTTCAGGTCTTGTCCCGAATCCTCTGTTTTCTGCACGATGTGGTCAAGGCCGTCGGCGGAATTGACGTACATGAGGAAGAACAGAAGCGACACCTGGGACGCCTCGACTCCCAGGATGTACCGCACAACTGCGTCTATGGCATCAGCGGATCCTGTTGGAAGGGAGTTCTACAGATAATACTGGGAGGATGTTGCCTTGCCCCTCCCTCAATTATCAAGTGTATCATTATATATATTTATGGGTCAGTTTAGCCTCGTGGCTATCGACACATGTTGCAAACAAATCTACGATGTTTTAACAAATAACAAATATAATATACAAGTGCATTCAACATGACGGCGTTCTGTATACGATGGCAATACTGTGATTGACATCACAAGCATCGATTATATCTGTCAACATCGTTTCCGCGACTGAAACCACAACGGCCCCACCCAAAACATTTCACACACTCAACATCCGAATATCTTAAGTCCTTAATATACATTAAAGGGTCCTATTGGATCTCTTTGTAGCTTGTGCCAAAACGAAATAAGATAGTTGGAGAGCATTCAACCAATCAAACAATTAATTCAGAAGCACTGGACATTGTTTAAAACCTCAATCTCCAGGTGGCTGATGCAAGCTCGAAGGTGTACAATGCTTCTATCACGACACCCGGGTTAGAATCGGACTTCAGCAAGCCATGCTTGTCGTAAGAGGCGACTGACGGGATCGGGTGGTCAGGCTCGCTGACTTGGTTAACACATGTCATCGTATTCCAGTTGCGTAGATCGAAGCTCCTGCTGTTGATCACTGGATTGTCTGTTCCAGAATCGATTATTTACAGACCGCCGTCATATTACTGAGTGCGACGTTAAATAACAAACCAACCATATCTACCATGAATAGATTCCAGCGCGACATTAAACACCACAATGCCGTCATGGGCGGGCTCTTGCAGACTCATTAAACACCACAATGTACGTACTCTTGTACGTACCTGCTGTAACATTAAACACCACAATGCCGTCATGGGCAGACTCTTGTACGTACCATCAGGTAGACTGTCACAATGCCGTCATGGGCAGACTCTTGTACGTACCTGCTGTCCAGCGCGACATTAAACACCACAATGCCGTCATGGGCAGACTCTTGTACGTACCTGCTGTCCAGCGCGAGATTAAACACCACAATGCCGTTGAATGTTTCTGTCATTGAATGTTTCTGTTTTGAAGTTTCAAGTGTCATCGAGTCCCACTTCCTGGCCTTGGCGCACGAGAACGGGTCGTCAGCGGGCACCTGACGTCTCATGGCATCGATCTAAACACGAAACAAACACCCCTTATACCTGTACCTGTATTGGACATTGGTACTGAACAGTGGATTGTTCACTTGAAGAGAGGAATGGACATCAGCAGAGCGGGATGAGTTATGATCCAATGTTAATGATTTTACGTTACCACATCGGCTTTCTTTGTTTGTTCTCATTTCCAGATCTGTGAAGTATGTCCTTTGTTTTCAACGTTAGTGAATTGTTATTCTGCATCGTAATTTATAAGTATCGATTAATCTGATACAATGGTATAAAAACCTTCCAATTAGGTCTGGGTTTCCAATGGGGTTTTCACACACAGTTTAACACCGCTGTATTGAACTAGAAGGAACCGGATACATAGTCGACTTATGAGAGTGTTCGGCACTCACATCAACATAAGAATGTGGCGTGTTAAATTACCCGAATTACAGGTTAATTCGACACAATATAGGGCGACACAGTGATGACTTGAGTAATTCCGAGATATTTTGTATCCAGCGGGACATTGTTTCCCTATGCTGGCTACTGCAAAGTCACGATGAGACCTACCTTTATGTACTCTAAGGTGAAGGGTGGGTGGGTGTGGGTACGGGCAGACATTTTTAAGAGGGACAAAATATGTTTCCATGCCTCGAAAGCGACAGTTGTCGTTTCTAAGCACCGAAACTAACGTTTTAATGCTTTTTCGGGAGATAAGTGCATTTTAAAAGAATTACGGAAGGAAAATTTCGTTATTGACGTCTGCAGAGCTCAGATATACACCCCAGTAACCACCTTACACTGCACCCAACTTACCTTGTTGATAAATCTGCGAAGGTCCATCAGTTCCAGGAATGACAGGGTGGGCAGGGTGGAGGTGTAGGTCCGGATGCTGTGGTCCTCCAGCTGGACGAACTTGCTGCCTTCACTGTACTGGTGGTACGTCTCCAACTCCAGCTCCGAAAGCAACGACATGACGTGGGTCTGGCATCTGGATATAGCAGAACTGACTTAGAAGAACGCCCTGACTTAACAGTCCACGAGTCCCAAGACAATCGTGGGAGCTGGCCAATGTTGGAAATTCAATAGCCACCAGTGACAAGAATATTTCTGATTTTGATAAAACAAAGACAATGGCTGTCTCATTTTCAGAAACTGCAAGGTCCTATACTGAGAGGGAAAACAGACCGAAACACCTATATTCATTTACAGGTCACCGTGATATACATGTGATATAGCTGACTATGGTTAGAATTTAAACCATTTTATGAATAAGATTGGTATCATTTGGCATTAAGTTAGATGAGGATAGGATTACTATTTCTACTGAAATCAGAAGAGCAAAACATTTAAAGCCACATTTGGCACGTTTAGACCCAGTCGTAGACATCTGTAGCCTCTAAACGTGCATAAAGTATGAGGAAAGGGACGTGTAGAGGTTTATGTTTAGGAAGTTAACACATTTTTCATACTACAGTTTCTTCACCCGCTACTAAAATCTCACTACAGCCTATTACACCAACCTAAGCTGTCTCAAACACCTCGACCCCAACCTCATCCCACCAGCCTTCCGGGTCTCACTAGCCCACCCTATCGCATCCGCCTCTCTGGTCTCACCTTCCTACCCGATCTCACTAGCCCACCCTATCGCATCCGCCTCTCTGGTCTCACCTTCCTACCCGATCTCACTAGCCCACCCTATCGCATCCGCCTTTCCGGTCTTACCTGCCCACCCTATCGCATCCGCTTTTCCAGTCTCACCTGCTGAACCTATCTCACCTTCCTACCCGATCTCACCTGCCCACCCTATCGCATCAGCCTTTCCGGTCTCACCTGCCGACCGTATCTCACCTTCCTTCCCGATCTCACCTGCCCACCATATCTCACCTTCCTAATCGATCTCACCTGTCCACCCTATCTCACCTTCCTACCTGCTCTCACCTGCCCACCCGATCTCACCTGCCCACCCACTGTGACCCGAGGTCCCAGACATCCGTTCCTTCGGTCCCATCGGTCCCAGAGACAGTCTTCAGGGGAACACTGTACGTTCGGCCTCCAACTCGATCTGCAAATACACACGTGAACGGTGAAATACTCGCTATTGCTGTTACGGTAAGTAAATATTAATGTTATTTTACGGCGCATTTAGTCAGTACATAATCAGGTTTGGGCCAGACAAACCAGTGACTGTAAAAACATGAAAGAAAATTCAAGCTATCGGTTCATGCATTCTGCTGACCCTATCGTCCGTGTTCAAAAGGGCGGTGTCAAAGCTGGGCTTACTCCTCATACGATAGCAGAGACTTACCACAGTCTTAGATCGAATTTGTAGAACCGGCCCTTGTGCATATCAGTTGAATCAATCAAACAAACCCAGGTTACTGTGACAAGTTCCCCCCTGTCATGCCAATAGATCATAAATAAATATAATCTTACTGATTGTTTCTACTGGTAACGTTCAGTAGTATGTTTACATACAGACTCAACATTCCACGGTCAGGTGTCGTGCGTAGTTCACTGCATGGGTGTAAACTGTATGGGTGTAAATCATTTGCCCTGGTCGTAACACCATGAGAGTATTTATTTGTGCACGGACTTTTATAAGTACAGAGAGAGAGAGAGAGAGAGAGAGAGAGAGAGAGAGAGAGAGAGAGAGAGAGAGAGAGAGAGAGAGAGAGAGAGAGAGAGAGAGAGAGAGAGAGAGAGAGAGAGAGAGAGAGAGAGAGAGAGAGAGAGAGAGAGAGAGAGAGAGAGAGAGAGAGAGAGAGAGAGACAGATGCTCTCATAACCTCAGTTATATAAGGCTTACTTTTTATAGTACAGAGAGAGAGAGAGAGAGAGAGAGAGGCACTGAAGCTCACCTTCCCCAAACTTTTCTAACAGTGACAGATGCTCGTAGCCTCAGTTATATAAGGCTTGTTTAATGTTTTTTGAAAAGACAAATGGTCCCCAAAGAAGAGAAATACAGTTTTCGAAGACACATCAGGAGATGCGAATAGCTTCGCAATGTTTTCATGCAGAAGTTTAGGATAATGAAAAATTGTTCTGTATGTTTTTAAACCAATTCTAACGTGTATTTCATCTTTGTAATGCTTTTAACTACATTTTGGAAAGAATCAACCAGCATAGGTATAGACTTCGGGACCATAATAGGCAAATGTAAAGCATTCGATCCAATGGTCAACCGATGTTGAGAGTAAAGAGCGATAATGTACTCGACTCTAATCATTTAATTGTTCATTTCCAGATTAGAACGGGTGGGAATAAGGCGTAACCTCATTGTAACTCGAGATCATATCGTTCATCACATAAACGTAATCAGCATGAAAATGAAATCATAAACCCACGTTTTATAGTCGTTGAAACTGAAACAAACAACACATTCTTACTGGATGTTGATACATTTACTACGGATATCGTAGTTGTGTTTTGGAAATTCAGTCGCAGTGTGTCGGGGTTTTAGTCTGGTAACGTTTCTCACTTTTAGTCAAATCCATTGATATGTATTATATACCTTCCTTTGCCCAACAGCTTAAAGGTCACATGCAACGTAAAACACAACTTTGCAGATTCTGATACCTTTCGGTATGGACTTACCGAAACAAAGCGTCAAAAATGCAAATTCAACTTATAAAGTTGAAAAATAACGCGATTGAAAAAAACGCGCGAAATCGGAGTTCAAACGTTTCACTAATTTTCCCCAGACTTTTCTGGGGAATACGGGTTTCAACAGCTGGGCTGCGCTCATAGCACGTGCGCAGTGAAATAGGTTTGCGCAACTTGGAAGCGGGCTGTCTGGTGAATACTCGGTGAAGGCTTTGGTGTGAGCTATTTTCCTAATGTTTTGTTGATATCTCACAGGCGCAAGCTTTTTGTATGTTATGACAGTAAATAAACTGTTTATATAATTTCATTTGTCTATTGCACCACACGTTCTTCTTACCGAGTCACTTTCTCAGTTCGATACTTAAAAGCAATGTCATTATTTAGAGTTGACACACTTTCTAACTGATATATAGTTATGTCGCTTATTGACACCTGTGTGTCTGCCTGCCTGTCTGCTAATGACAATATTCAATACACAACTGCCATCACTGACCACACGCAATTTGAACTTAACACCAATCAGGCTATACACCATAAACAAAACGCATTGATTTATGGCCAGAGTTCGGTCTCTGTCACATTATGTAATTACACAGACAGGCAGGTGTGATACTTGAACACATGACATGTTATGATGTCTGTTGATTGCAAAGTGTTATACACAAAAAATGAGCATGTATTTACAAAACTCAACTTTCTATATATACACACACAATGAGCTGTGAAGGCGGCATCTGTTAATGAACCAGCCGTTACACTTGAGTGCACATACACCCGCTCTGACTGGGTTCGGTATCCCGGCTGCTTCGTTTCGAGGGAGGTAAACCCAAGTACAAAATATTGCACTTTTGATTTGCGATTATACGCTTACAATTTTGTTTATTTGTTTTTTCATAATCAGCAATGCATATTATATGTCATGAAGAAGTGATAATTGTGTTTTAATTATGTTTGATTTTTGTGTTGCATGTGACCTTTAAATCAGTGTCTATGGTGCGAGACAAGGGGGGCGTCCGTGATGTACTGTAACACGGTAAGGAGTCTGCCGATACCATAAAGTGTTAAATGGAAGGACATGTAAATGTGTTAAAGAAAACCAGAATGAAAGTCAAACACCACAATAAAGTACACGGAACGCTCTCTATATCTTAAAGATCATATTTTTATTTTATTCTTCTTATAAGGATACATACGGAGCTGGATCAAAAAGATCTTGATGGGGCCGGAGGTTCTGTCCAAATTAACCACCAATGGAACCCGATTATAAAACATGTTGTACCCAATATAGGTAAGATTATTAAATAACAACATTTTCACCATCAAATATTTCCTCTCTTCTTCAAAAGGTAGGGCGTTGGGGTAGTCTAGTGGTCTAAAGCGTTCTCTCGTCACGCCGCAGATCAGGGTTTGATTCCCTGCATGAGTACAATGTGTGAAGCCCATTACTGATGTCCCTAGCCGTGACACTGCTGGAGTATTGCTAAGGGCGGCGTAAAACCATACTCGCTCACTCTTCATAAGTAGGTTTGGGATAGACTATTATTATGTATAACACATATATATTTCCGGATATGCAGTCTGAGCCCACACACACCTACACATCATAAATAAAATAGGTCAACCACTTGACACGACCGATCACCGTCGACATAGGTGAAATGGGATTATGTAGTCCCATATATACATCGCGGAGGATCAATAATGAGTACATAAGTGGAGAGTGAAATGAACACGTGTATATTGTTGCACTATCAGCGTACAGAACCATGGACACATCACTGCCGTAGCCTGCTGAGAGACAGTGGTGATGGGTGTGTTACTGAATTGGTATGCGGAAGATCTACAGGCTGAGTTTCTCATGATCACCGACTATTGACAGTGTGTTGAAACATTGCTAACACATGGCTCCTCTGTGTTTACTGATTCCTGTGCGTGCCTGGTGATGTTATTTTTAATAGTCTGCATTTACTAAACTCAGCAAGGTTGTTCCGATTTCATGATGGAAAATGTAAATAACAGATGACCACCTGACGAAAACAGTATATTTTTCAGAACATACAAGGAAGAAAATGGATGTAGTACCCAACTTAATTTTCACACTGAGGCAAAATTTAAATGTGAACCGGCCTTTCAAAATATAAACTGAATGCTAACCGATAACTGTATGCTAACAAAGCAGACTTACTACATATGTGTATCCGGGAATTTTCAAGCGGGGGAGGGGGATTAACTTCAATATGGGTTCGAACACACACACACACACACACAGACACACACCACCCACCCATCTCAAACATACACATACACTTACACATACAAATACTCTGCCCTTGTATTTTCTTTCAGTCATGTCGTTGTTACGACATAGTTGCTGACATAGTTTCAGCCGTTACGTAACTGAAATACATATTTGTGAATTCGGCCGTTATCAATAGAATAACACGATTATCCCAAATTTAATGGTTGACATCATCAATAATGGAAATGATGTGTATCAGCTTGAACTTCATCACCTCTGGTGACGCCAGCATGTTTAATACATTCCTGAACTTCAGGTGAGAGCGTGCGTACGCGCGTGTGTGTCTCTGTCTGTCTGTATCTGTTTGTGTGTCTGTTCGTGTGCAGTGTGTGCGCTTGTTACTTTTCAGACACCAAACATGTTATTTTTCACAAATCTACAGTCCGCATCTGTATTTGGAGATACATTCACAAATAACGACGATCAGACCTTTCCATTTTACTTCTCTAACCTATCTACTAAGTGACACATTTATGTATGAAACACACAACCAACCATCTCACCTTTAGCTTCTATGACCAGCACGCGAATGTTCGGGTCTTTTTTCTTCAACCTGTGGGCTGCAGTCAAACCAGATATCCCAGCGCCAACAATAATGGCGTCGTAAGTATCAGAACTCATTTCGGAAATGCAGTTTCTTTTTCATTTCCTGTCGTTGTGAATAAACACAGTCGCTGAATCGGTCGTGGTATGACAAGGATATATTTCACGAGCAAAGTCCGCTTCAGTTCTCTCCATCGCCATAATCATGTTTTATCTCTGGTCACATGACCGAGATCGTCTGCTGCAAACGTGAAGACTCGCGCGTTTTTCCGCTATCACGGGAACAGGGCTACAAGATACGAGAGGTACTCGGAGTGAGGCGCGTTTTTATCTAAGGTTGCTGGTATAAACAGTGACATGGATTTTTAATAGTCTTGGCGTGGTCGAGGACTACAGCGGAACGCGGACTATTTTGTCGAAGGCGTATAATGCTACTCAATTTAATATCTTGGTGTACTTAGACCAAGACCCGGACATAACTTGCATACCGCAATGGTGGCCAGATTTATGTCTGTGTTGGCAGTAAACAATTCATAACTTGTTATAAGTCTCAGTATTAGTAGACTAGTGGAAAAAAACGCGGGGTCATCATCCGAATCTGAATCTATCCTCAGAATTAGTGTAATGCATGAAGCTGATTCTTGTTTCCCTGCCGTCGTGAGGGAAGTGTTAGAAGTGGCGCAAAACTCGCTCAGACGTATCACGTTATCTGAAACCTTACGGACAATTCGTCACCTGCGTCTCTGTGTACTGGTATTCAGTGCCTTAGTAAGTACTGGGCCATTCGACTGACTGACTGACTGAGTTTGGTTTTACGCCGCTTTTAGCAATATTCCAGCAACATCACGGCGGGGGACACCAGAAATGGGCTTCACACATTGTACCCATGTGGGGATTCGAACCCGGGTCTTCGGCGTGACGAGCCAACGCTTTAACCATTAGGCTACCCCACCGCCCCCCTGGGCCATTCGAGACCAAGGCACCGCTTTAATTTGCAGAGTTGCGTCCCTTGGGCGTGCCAAAAACCTATGATCGCGTGTTCGAATCCCTAATTATGATTCATGGTTTGTCAGCACCATACGTGTCATCGGTGACAAGTGTGATCGTAGAATGAAATAAAAGGGCGGTATTCTCTCTTTTTTTTGTGCCTTGTTGATTTACCGTTATCGACCACTTATTTGTCCAGTGCGTCTGGGGCCTATTCAGCCTAGCCCCGAGATAGCTTTGTGCAACGGAGCACAGATAATTCGTAAGAATTAGGCAAGAAACAAACTATCGTAGGTTCAAAGTCCATTTTAGCCCTGATAAGGTGTCTATTGTCAGCATTATACCTCGACCCGTGGGTTTCATAACGTGATAAACATCTAAAACTGCATCACTTCAGACAGTCCTCTTACACCGAGCGACCCCTGAAGATCAAACTCTTCAGCAACCCATGCTTGTCGTAAGAGGCTGCTAACGGGATCGGGGGGTCAGGCTCGCTGACTTGGTTGATGCATATCACCGTATCCCAATTGCATAGATCGAAGTTCATACTGTTCATCACTGGATTGACTGGTCGAGACTCGATTACTTACAGATCGCCGAAATATAGCTGGAATATTGCTGAGTGCGGGTTAAACCACAAACAAACCCTTCATCATCGGACATACGGGGACACAACAGGAATACCGAGTGTTCAAAGTGGCCCGACTCACTCACTCATTCTACTACACTGGCAAAAACTTCAGATAGTGTAAAGGTTCATTTTGCCTCTTCACACAAGGAGATAGGACAGAAGGGGCTTACTAATGCCAGGGCCATGTGATAATGAGTTGACGTGACGTGAACAAGTGTCAAACCTCAATCATGATTGGTTATCGCCAGCTCGTTATCTGCGAGTCCCAATTACTCACGGGGAAACTGACTGAGGTCAAGGTCGTGGAGATGCCATTTCATTGTGACACAGACAATACTGATTTTATTTTGCAACTGATTGCTGTTGATTTTTTAAACAAACTATCAAACAATAACAGTTACACGAAGTATGACAGTTCAATAATATTATTACAAATTCATCTGCTTCTTGGAACCTGTTATAAAAGAGTTCCAAGAAGTATCTCCTTTTCAAAAACTTAAAAAAAACACAGGGGCGTGTCACGCTTAGAAACAGAGTTAGAAAGACATATAGGTATATAGACCCTACCCTAGTACTATATAAAAGGAAAGGGATGTAACGACGGAACCACCCCCCTCCTCAATCTAAGTTAGATTTCACCACGTAAACTATTTTTAAGGCCCCGTTGAGGCCTACGGATCAAAAGCGAGATTTCCCCTACAAAATGAGCTATAAATAGTCACAATCGGATCATTATTTCAAAAGTTATACGCCACGACTCACCGAAAAAAGCTACCTCCGCAATTCCAAGCCAAAATCATGGATCACCCAAGACAGCGAAAACTTACCTTTTAAATTCGTTTATTAATTCCAGCCACGTTGACAGCACCTATGTAGGGCTAGGTTCGATCGGCAGTGCCATTCCACGGGTCTAAAACCTTATTGCAACATCTACAAATCATTTCCTCGACAGTAAGCAGGCATTTTCTCCAAAACCATCGGCAATCATACTCCCTTGTAGGTCATAGATGGCCTTGACATTTTTAGTGACTTGAGCAGTAAATTTGTAAGAATAATTTTAGAGGTTAAATATTTATAAATATAATTTCCTAAAAATGAATCAATATCGAATGCATTTTTACAACCTCTAAAACTATTTTAACAATTTACTGTTCCGTACATCATCCAGAATAAAAGATTTTTGCAAAGTTCATATTTCGCGCCCATTAGCAAACAGTCCAAATCTTACAGTATATTATATTTTCCACCAATCGGATGGCCCAATTTCGTTTCTGCGGATCTGCTCAGATCACTTGAATGTCAAGGCCATCTACGGCTGACAAGTGAGTATGATTGACGATTGTTCTGGAGAAAATGTCTGCTTACTGTCGAGGAAATGATTTGTAGATGTTGCAATAAGTTTTTTAGACCCGTGGAATGGCGCTGCCGATCGAGGCCGATCGAGCCCTACATAGGTGCTGCCAACGTGGCTGGAATTAATAAACGAATTTAAAAGGTAAGTTTTCGCTGTCTTGGGTGATCCATGATTTTGGCTTGGAATTGCGGAGGTAGCTTTTTTCGGTGAGTCGTGGCGTATAACTTTTGAAATAATGATCCGATTGTGACTATTTATAGCTCATTTTGTAGGGAAATCATCTCGCTTTTGATCCGTAGGCCTCAACGGGGCCTTAAAAATAGTTTACGTGGTGAAATCTAACTTAGATTGAGGAGGCGGTGGTTCCGTCGTTACATCCCTTTCCTTTTATATAGTACTAGGGTAGGGTCTATATACATATATGTCTTTCTAACTCTGTTTCTAAGCGTGACACGCCCCTGTGAAAAAAACAACATATTGTTTTGTACAAAGGCTAGAAAGCTATGATTGTGGGTTGAGTGAGTATGGTTTTATGCCGTTTTTAAGCAATATTCCATCAATATTACGACGGAGGACACCAGAAATGGGCTTCACACATTGTACTCATGCGGGGAATCGAACCCCGATCTACTGCGTCACGAGAGAACGCTTTAGACCACAAGACTACCCCACCGGCCTACCTTTTGAAGAAAAGAGGAAATATTTGGTCGTGAAACTGTTGTTATTTAACAGCTGCAATAATCTTACCTATAAGACAGCTTTGTTTGTGTCCGTTAGGACGACCTTTATGAGCGCTAGGTGGGCTAAAGGTGCTGTCGGGCCTCGATTTGGGGTATTAGCTATAGGGAGCGAACCTTGAAACAAGAAAGAGAGAGCTGTGAGTTCCTGGGTTTATTCAAGCAAGTGTCTTGCATAACATTCAAAATACATCAGTTCATACATAATAATGACACACAATAATAGAAATAGTAATCAATGATATCCTAATACAGTTTATATCTAAGTCAGGTTATACATGCAAAGTGTGGTACAACAGGGTATGTACGGTAACTGCTTACAGAAACCTAATACAAATAATACAACATTTCCTACTACGGTACTGATAAATTACATAACCTGACGGATAAATTAATCATCAACAACAATTGCAAAGAACAAGTACTGAGTGGAGCACCCAACAATTCAATTACAGCATGTAGTGCCTAGTTCATTAACTGCCTCGCGGATTTATGACTATTATGTTATGTCGCGCCTAATGCGTTAACTACGTTAAGGATTTATGATTATTACGGTATGTCACGCTTAGTGCATTAACTACACTAACGATTCACGACTAGTGTAAGTAAATTTCAGTTATAAAAATACATGCATTGAGCAAATACAGTAAACGGCTCGAGGTGCTCAGATTTGACATTTGACCATTTAACTCCGGTACTGACTGTAGGCATTCTAACTGTAATGTTAACATTTATTTTCTCAATACAATAATTTCGGTAGATACGGTAAGTGGTATTAGAGAGATATAAAAGTGTTGTAAATACGAGGACAGAAGGGCTTAGTTAGAGTACAACTACTTTGCTTTATCATGAATTATTTGGGTGACTACGGTAAATGTATTTCGACGGTGATGTTGCTGTTGGGAACGTGCTATTTCGACATATACGGAGTTAAACCATGACCTAGAATATATGTAATGCTGTAGTGCTACATTTAAACAAGGGATGTCGGAAGGTACATTTTTGTGCTTTACAAAACAAGACAGTATAACTTAGTTAAATGAATATGTAACAATGTACTAGGACAGCGTTTGTCCTTATCAAGTTTCTCTAAAGTTGAAGTTTCCATATGCGTTATTTACCCTATGCTGACAAAGTATACTACACGAGGTAGGTGGTAAGAAGATGATTACCTAACAAGGTTTGATTTTCTTTATGGTGTTGCCAAGGTCAGCTTTCGCCAGCTGCTTAACAAAATATCAATCAGCGCTTGACCATGGCATTTACGACAGGATGAAGGGATGGCGTGATGATAATCTCGATCTTGTTAAAAAAAAGTTGATTTTTGATTAGTTGGTGGTAAAACTTTCTCCTGCTGGGATGGGACTAC